GTCGGGGACCCAGAGCACACGGAGTCGGGGACCCAGAGCACACGGAGTCGGGGACCCAGAGCACACGGAGTCGGGGACCCAGAGCACACGGAGTCGGGGACCCAGAGCACACGGAGTCGGGGACCCAGAGCACACGGAGTCGGGGACCCAGAGCACACGGAGTCGGGGACCCAGAGCACACGGAGTCGGGGACCCAGAGCACACGGAGTCGGGGACCCAGAGCACACGGAGTCGGGGACCCAGAGCACACGGAGTCGGGGACCCAGAGCACACGGAGTCGGGGACCCAGAGCACACGGAGTCGGGGACCCAGAGCACACGGAGTCGGGGACCCAGAGCACACGGAGTCGGGGACCCAGAGCACACGGAGTCGGGGACCCAGAGCACACGGAGTCGGGGACCCAGAGCACACGGAGTCGGGGACCCAGAGCACACGGAGTCGGGGACCCAGAGCACACGGAGTCGGGGACCCAGAGCACACGGAGTCGGGGACCCAGAGCACACGGAGTCGGGGACCCAGAGCACACGGAGTCGGGGACCCAGAGCACACGGAGTCGGGGACCCAGAGCACACGGAGTCGGGGACCCAGAGCACACGGAGTCGGGGACCCAGAGCACACGGAGTCGGGGACCCAGAGCACACGGAGTCGGGGACCCAGAGCACACGGAGTCGGGGACCCAGAGCACACGGAGTCGGGGACCCAGAGCACACGGAGTCGGGGACCCAGAGCACACGGAGTCGGGGACCCAGAGCACACGGAGTCGGGGACCCAGAGCACACGGAGTCGGGGACCCAGAGCACACGGAGTCGGGGACCCAGAGCACACGGAGTCGGGGACCCAGAGCACACGGAGTCGGGGACCCAGAGCACACGGAGTCGGGGACCCAGAGCACACGGAGTCGGGGACCCAGAGCACACGGAGTCGGGGACCCAGAGCACACGGAGTCGGGGACCCAGAGCACACGGAGTCGGGGACCCAGAGCACACGGAGTCGGGGACCCAGAGCACACGGAGTCGGGGACCCAGAGCACACGGAGTCGGGGACCCAGAGCACACGGAGTCGGGGACCCAGAGCACACGGAGTCGGGGACCCAGAGCACACGGAGTCGGGGACCCAGAGCACACGGAGTCGGGGACCCAGAGCACACGGAGTCGGGGACCCAGAGCACACGGAGTCGGGGACCCAGAGCACACGGAGTCGGGGACCCAGAGCACACGGAGTCGGGGACCCAGAGCACACGGAGTCGGGGACCCAGAGCACACGGAGTCGGGGACCCAGAGCACACGGAGTCGGGGACCCAGAGCACACGGAGTCGGGGACCCAGAGCACACGGAGTCGGGGACCCAGAGCACACGGAGTCGGGGACCCAGAGCACACGGAGTCGGGGACCCAGAGCACACGGAGTCGGGGACCCAGAGCACACGGAGTCGGGGACCCAGAGCACACGGAGTCGGGGACCCAGAGCACACGGAGTCGGGGACCCAGAGCACACGGAGTCGGGGACCCAGAGCACACGGAGTCGGGGACCCAGAGCACACGGAGTCGGGGACCCAGAGCACACGGAGTCGGGGACCCAGAGCACACGGAGTCGGGGACCCAGAGCACACGGAGTCGGGGACCCAGAGCACACGGAGTCGGGGACCCAGAGCACACGGAGTCGGGGACCCAGAGCACACGGAGTCGGGGACCCAGAGCACACGGAGTCGGGGACCCAGAGCACACGGAGTCGGGGACCCAGAGCACACGGAGTCGGGGACCCAGAGCACACGGAGTCGGGGACCCAGAGCACACGGAGTCGGGGACCCAGAGCACACGGAGTCGGGGACCCAGAGCACACGGAGTCGGGGACCCAGAGCACACGGAGTCGGGGACCCAGAGCACACGGAGTCGGGGACCCAGAGCACACGGAGTCGGGGACCCAGAGCACACGGAGTCGGGGACCCAGAGCACACGGAGTCGGGGACCCAGAGCACACGGAGTCGGGGACCCAGAGCACACGGAGTCGGGGACCCAGAGCACACGGAGTCGGGGACCCAGAGCACACGGAGTCGGGGACCCAGAGCACACGGAGTCGGGGACCCAGAGCACACGGAGTCGGGGACCCAGAGCACACGGAGTCGGGGACCCAGAGCACACGGAGTCGGGGACCCAGAGCACACGGAGTCGGGGACCCAGAGCACACGGAGTCGGGGACCCAGAGCACACGGAGTCGGGGACCCAGAGCACACGGAGTCGGGGACCCAGAGCACACGGAGTCGGGGACCCAGAGCACACGGAGTCGGGGACCCAGAGCACACGGAGTCGGGGACCCAGAGCACACGGAGTCGGGGACCCAGAGCACACGGAGTCGGGGACCCAGAGCACACGGAGTCGGGGACCCAGAGCACACGGAGTCGGGGACCCAGAGCACACGGAGTCGGGGACCCAGAGCACACGGAGTCGGGGACCCAGAGCACACGGAGTCGGGGACCCAGAGCACACGGAGTCGGGGACCCAGAGCACACGGAGTCGGGGACCCAGAGCACACGGAGTCGGGGACCCAGAGCACACGGAGTCGGGGACCCAGAGCACACGGAGTCGGGGACCCAGAGCACACGGAGTCGGGGACCCAGAGCACACGGAGTCGGGGACCCAGAGCACACGGAGTCGGGGACCCAGAGCACACGGAGTCGGGGACCCAGAGCACACGGAGTCGGGGACCCAGAGCACACGGAGTCGGGGACCCAGAGCACACGGAGTCGGGGACCCAGAGCACACGGAGTCGGGGACCCAGAGCACACGGAGTCGGGGACCCAGAGCACACGGAGTCGGGGACCCAGAGCACACGGAGTCGGGGACCCAGAGCACACGGAGTCGGGGACCCAGAGCACACGGAGTCGGGGACCCAGAGCACACGGAGTCGGGGACCCAGAGCACACGGAGTCGGGGACCCAGAGCACACGGAGTCGGGGACCCAGAGCACACGGAGTCGGGGACCCAGAGCACACGGAGTCGGGGACCCAGAGCACACGGAGTCGGGGACCCAGAGCACACGGAGTCGGGGACCCAGAGCACACGGAGTCGGGGACCCAGAGCACACGGAGTCGGGGACCCAGAGCACACGGAGTCGGGGACCCAGAGCACACGGAGTCGGGGACCCAGAGCACACGGAGTCGGGGACCCAGAGCACACGGAGTCGGGGACCCAGAGCACACGGAGTCGGGGACCCAGAGCACACGGAGTCGGGGACCCAGAGCACACGGAGTCGGGGACCCAGAGCACACGGAGTCGGGGACCCAGAGCACACGGAGTCGGGGACCCAGAGCACACGGAGTCGGGGACCCAGAGCACACGGAGTCGGGGACCCAGAGCACACGGAGTCGGGGACCCAGAGCACACGGAGTCGGGGACCCAGAGCACACGGAGTCGGGGACCCAGAGCACACGGAGTCGGGGACCCAGAGCACACGGAGTCGGGGACCCAGAGCACACGGAGTCGGGGACCCAGAGCACACGGAGTCGGGGACCCAGAGCACACGGAGTCGGGGACCCAGAGCACACGGAGTCGGGGACCCAGAGCACACGGAGTCGGGGACCCAGAGCACACGGAGTCGGGGACCCAGAGCACACGGAGTCGGGGACCCAGAGCACACGGAGTCGGGGACCCAGAGCACACGGAGTCGGGGACCCAGAGCACACGGAGTCGGGGACCCAGAGCACACGGAGTCGGGGACCCAGAGCACACGGAGTCGGGGACCCAGAGCACACGGAGTCGGGGACCCAGAGCACACGGAGTCGGGGACCCAGAGCACACGGAGTCGGGGACCCAGAGCACACGGAGTCGGGGACCCAGAGCACACGGAGTCGGGGACCCAGAGCACACGGAGTCGGGGACCCAGAGCACACGGAGTCGGGGACCCAGAGCACACGGAGTCGGGGACCCAGAGCACACGGAGTCGGGGACCCAGAGCACACGGAGTCGGGGACCCAGAGCACACGGAGTCGGGGACCCAGAGCACACGGAGTCGGGGACCCAGAGCACACGGAGTCGGGGACCCAGAGCACACGGAGTCGGGGACCCAGAGCACACGGAGTCGGGGACCCAGAGCACACGGAGTCGGGGACCCAGAGCACACGGAGTCGGGGACCCAGAGCACACGGAGTCGGGGACCCAGAGCACACGGAGTCGGGGACCCAGAGCACACGGAGTCGGGGACCCAGAGCACACGGAGTCGGGGACCCAGAGCACACGGAGTCGGGGACCCAGAGCACACGGAGTCGGGGACCCAGAGCACACGGAGTCGGGGACCCAGAGCACACGGAGTCGGGGACCCAGAGCACACGGAGTCGGGGACTCAGCCCCGAGCCCGCCCCCAGCCCCGACTCCCACATCATCCCCCAGGGCATCCTGGAGAACGCCATCAAGATCACCAACGAGCCGGTCGGGGACCCAGAGCACGTGCAGTCGGGGACCCAGAGCACGTGCAGCCGGGGACCGAGAACACACGAAGTCGGGGACCCAGAGCACGTGCAGCCGGGGACCCAGAGCACACGGAGTCGCTGGGCCTGCAGAGGCCAGACTTGAGCTCTGAGGATGCTCCACTCTGCTGCTCTCCATCCACACCACCACCAACACACACACACACACATGATCACACACACGTGCATACGCTCATGTACACTCCTGTAGGCATGCACTCGCACACACCCCTGCACAAGTAAGAGCACGTGCAGCCGGGGACCCAGAGCACACGGAGTCGCTGGGCCTGCAGAGGCCAGACTTGAGCTCTGAGGATGCTCCACTCTGCTGCTCTCCATCCACACCACCACCAACACACACACACACACATGATCACACACACGTGCATACGCTCATGTACACTCCTGTAGGCATGCACTCGCACACACCCCTGCACAAGTACCTGTGCACGCACATGCAGAGACACGCTCACACACACACCTTGCGCTGCAGTCACCGTATTCCTAAAAGGACACCCTGACATGGCGGTACGCCCCCTGCAGGACACCCTGGAGATGTGCACCAAGGAGATGGAGTTCAAGTGCATCCTGTTCGCCCTCTGCTACTTCCACGCCGTGGTGGCCGAGAGGCGCAAGTTTGGGGCCCAGGGCTGGAACAGGTCGTACCCCTTCAACAACGGGGACCTCACCATCTCCATCAACGTGCTGTACAACTACCTGGAGGCCAATCCCAAGGTAAGGGGGCCTGGTGGCGGCTCAGCCCCCGCCCGCCCTCCTCCTCCTCTTGGGCTGGGTCACAGCTGGGCCGACCTGACTCGAGGGTCGCCTCGAGCCCGCCCACCTGAGGCAATGACGGGCAGGCGGTCCTCGGCCGCCGCCCACAGGTGTCAGCCTCTGCTGCCACGCTCCCCGAGGACAGGTGTCCGGCACCCGAGCAGGGATCCCCCAGAAACCCCAGCCCTTCGGGCGGCCTGAGCCGGCGTGGGCCAGGATGGAGACAGCCCAGGCGGAGCGGGAGGGAGCAGACACTTCCGTAGGAACCCGAGTGTGTGGTCAGCCGCACAGCAGGGAGGACGGCACAAAGCCAGACGCCTCCGGCCATGGCCTGGCCCTGAGGGCCCAGCAGGCCCGTCTGCAGACCGGGAGCCTCCCATGGCCTGAGGCGTGACCCCAGGGGGGGACCGAGCCGGCACCGAGGGGCCTGTCCCCCATGGGCGGCCCGGCGGCCTGTGTAGAGACCGGACACCACCCATCTCGCTTGGCCGACTCCCAGGAGGCCTGGCGCTCACCCTGCACCTGCCATCGGGGCCCTGGGAGGAGGCAGAGGCCGTCCCCTCCTCACTCAGCTCCTAAGAGGAGGGGCAGTAAGAGCAGCGCTTGGCTGCGGGTAAGGGGGCGACGTGGGTGGGCAGAGCCGCATCGTCAGAAGGGGTGCTGGTGCCAGGCGCCTGGGGTGAAGCCCAGCTCTGCTGCGCTGGCTGGACCCCGCCCCCTGAGCCTGGGGACAACCCCCAGGCCTCCAAGCATTAGGGGCTCAGTGAGGAAAGGTGGGAGGTGCCCTATTGTAAGAAGCTGTGCAGGTTGGCAGGGGAGGGGGCCTCAGGCGAGGGCAGGGAGCCTCCCCGGGGCGGCCTGTCCGGGGCTGACCTCTGATGACCTATGATGTCAGACACCCCTGTGGCCCCGGAGAGGACCCCCACCCCGGCACAGGCAGCCACCACACGCCCCCAGCCCAGTCAGCGGAATGTTTGGTTCCCTGGGGGAGGCGGGACGGTCTGGGCAGAGGTCACTTCCTGCGGCCCCACGAGGTGGCCCCACGGCTGCAGACACTCGGGGGGGCCCGGGCGGCTGCGGCTGCGTGTGCAGCGGGTCAGACAGGGTGCTGGCGCCCCATGACCTGAGATGGGATCGGGGTGCACACACCGAACCACCGCACGGGAGACGGGAGAGACTGTCTGTGTCACTTTCTCGTGTGGGAGGAAGCGTCCTGCTAGTCACACACGCCCCCCCTCGCCCCCCCGCGCACACACGCGCCAGGTGGTGGGGGAGGAGGGGCTAAGGGCAGGCGCCGGCCAACCTCCAGGGAGGCACCAAGTGACGGAGCTGACAACGTGGCCCTGTCCCTCGGCCCGCAGGCCTCCCGGGGAGGCCTGGCGA